ACTTTATGTATGCGCAGGTGGAATACATAATATCGGAAGCGACTAGCGCGGAGAATCTGTGCTTGATGTACGAGGGCTGGATGGCGTGGGTTTGAAGCCGCAGCGGCACCGCACGGCACCGGCACGGCACCCGCGCGGCACCCGCACGGCACCCGCACGGCACTCGCTGCCGCACGCGGCCCGGGCCCAGCCGGCCTGGGACCAGCGAGGATATCGACGACGCCTCCCGCCAGAAGCCGTTCCGGCGGCGCGGAGTTACATTACGATAAGTTTAGCGTCTCTATTTGTCTCCCTCTAGCGACGGCCGCTCCTCTCGCTCTGTCACGTGATATCATCCACCCATACCGGGCTCGGAGAACGGAATGCTCTCCATTCGAATCGCCATCCGACACAACGACATCTTTAATATTTGGATTGAAAAATATGTGTTGTCATAAATTATGTCTCATGTTGTAGTGTGTAACATCGTCGTTTGTGTCGAGCCCGCCCCCGTGACGAGCCGGGCAGTCTAGTATTAGAGTATTCGTTTACGGTATATCGAGACTGGGTGTTAAGGAACCCCGCACGACGAGCGTCATCAATGCGTCGGTTATTCATCACCGTGACGTCCACGCTTACCATCCGCGTATTTTTAATCGTCAATGTCACGTCTCATTTCTATCATCGAATTTTGACCTTGGATCATGATTTGATCCGCAAAATATTGTCCGCGACTTAGCAAAACGCACATTTAGCAGTTACGCAATCAGTAATAGAATTCGATTCGGCTGAAAATTTTACTGTACTTAAGAGCATTAGCAACGTGAATTCCTTCAAAGTTTAGATGCCACGCGGCAATATTTCTCATTAAGATGTAATTGTAGTCGCGTCGCCGGCCCTGTATCGCTGTCGACGCGACCGCCGTCTAGTAACACCTCGGGGCGATGTAGCTATTAGTTATTGTATTCGCATAAAATATTTTGGTGTAATCGTTAATTTTTAGTTTGAACTCATTTCCTGAATTTTCATTGTACACATCGATTGGAGGTGTCAAGTTTCATCTGATTAACTTCTAGAATCCATTAGATTTACATCAATTTTTCTAACTCCCGTTTTAGTAGTAAGACTCTCGATTGTCGCTTTACATAAATTTCATTTTATCTTTCTTGCCTAAAATATTGTTTTTTTTTAAATTGTTTACTAATTTGCTATAGTTTGTAATCACAAAGATTTATTGTATCGAAAGAGGCGTCTCTTTAATCTACTATAGACATCTGTTACAACTTTATGCTATTAAATTTGAACCTATAACATTTTGACAGAAAATGAGTTCGTGTTTATAAATTGTATCACATATTTCTCTAGATTTTGTGCTATTTTCGTTGTAACGCAGACGGCCGGCTATGTGCGCTTAAACAGATATGTTTTTTTTAGCCTGTTCCGCTTACCCATACTAAGCTGTCCATAACATGAAAATGAAAAGAACGATTTGTCCTATAGAAATCGCTTTAAAAATATGCCTTGCAAGTATTCGTACTGTTATGAAAATACAAGTTGAATTAATGAATCTGATGTACCAGGGCAACAGCCTCCAGAGGAGATACCTATTTCGAATTATGCTGATATTTGTTTAATTTCTTATAGTTAATCAAACCATAAACAGTTTTTATTTATACTGGTGAATAAACACATAGCATACAAGTATAGAGAAGTAGAAAAAATCCTTTCGTTCATACCAATGCATGGACAACTTGTTATGGATAAATGGAACAGCTGAATATTTGTGTCATCTGGCTTTATTAAAGATTACACACGGCGCTAGTTGTACTAAATTCACAGTAACAGTCTATCACTGTATTTAGAAGACTTCATTGTCTTCTAAATGACGTTTTTGGAATTCAGTTGGGCAATAGATGCCTTCCCACAACGATCCTTAAGCATGAATATGTGCAGGGGAATGAACGCATTCGTATAAAACTTACGCGTCTTGCCGAAACATAATGACAGCCAGCGCTCTGAGTATGTTTGAATTAAACATGTTTGGATTTGTCACATAAGTGCTGCCACCTGGCGGGTTTCAGATAACCTACATTAGTTTGAATTTTGCTTTAACCGCGTCCGCCGTAGTCCGTCGTCTGTACTTCAAGTGCGAGTGGTGTGTGAATGTCTTCGTTTTATTTTATTGTAACCTGGTGTGATTGCAGCAGTGAATGTATTCGTCAAGATTTTTTATTATTTTACAAGTACGAGCAAATAAATGGAGTACGTTTGAGTTCCTTATAAAAAAATTTACAACACATATTTTATCATCTTTTATATTCTTGGAATAGTTATGTTTTCGCTCTTAACAATAGCAATCCACTGTCTATAATTAACGTCCAACATTTCACATCTGTGTTTATTTATTTGCTCGTGAGTTTAATACATATAGTTATCTATAGATGCTGAAAGTCAAAAACTGTACATCACTGGTAGTGTATTTCTTCGCTTCTTTTTATTAATAATAATAATTGGTGTATGTCAATGTGTGTTTCATTTACAAGTACCCAAATCAAAATGCATTCAATTCAATTCTCAATTATTTATTTACATAAAACTTTATGCAGTACATCATTTTCGGAATAAAATTTAAAAGATAAAATAACAATATATCTTATTTGTTTATCGCTGTGTCAACTACTAAAAGGGACAGATAATATGAAAATGGTTCGCATGACAAATCCCAACCCAATAAAAAAACAATAAATGTAGATTTTTAGCTAGAGTCTGTGCGGAAAGAGAATGGGCTTTAGATTGGAGGGCGCTGTAGCATATTTGTAAGGTTTTACCCCTTTTAGACATGATTAAATACAAAAAACCGCAAGAAATCACAACAACAAACAAATCTGTATCAATACAAAACTTTGACGTTTTACAGATTGCTGGGTTTGATTGCCAAATAAAAATCTTAATGTTAGTTCCGTGTTTCGCCACGCCCATTCTATTTCCGCACAGACTCTAATATCGTTACTGCTAACCTGAAATATCATCAAAGATTTATTAAAGTGTTATTTCGATATAATAACGAAGTAGTTTACTTATAATAGCAGATTTGCGTTTATTGCGATTCCTTGCAGCTAAATATTTTTTGTTGAAATTCCAGTTAAGTAGGTTCAACCAATTACGGTGAATGACTTCTCTATAGCAAAAACACAGCATTAAGCAACATTTTCTTAAGGGTGCTTTGAACAACACGAAATCCGGCGTCGAGTACAATTATCAACAATATATCCAGATAGCAAGACATGTGCTGCTAACAATTTTGATTTTAAGTTAAAAATATAAATAAAGGCATTTAAAAATATGATACATAGCATTAAGGTCACACCTTTCAGGAACTTACAATAAAGCCGCGTATTGACAGATGACCAGTTTCGTGCTAGCGATGGTCTATAAATCATTTGAAGCTAATATCAAGTACATTCTAACAGTTATTCTAAGTAAAAATTGTTGCGAACAAGCATTGGCCCACCTGCTGTTAAGCGGCCAAAATGTCATAAAGACGTTTGCAATACAACTCAAATCAACGAAACGTGAACTAAATATAAAGTAATATTTCTGCTGCATCGCCATGTCACCTGATAATACGCGGCTCAAGTCCATAAACATATTCTAACTCTAAAGTCCTGACTGACTCGCAGCCACTGACGTATCACAATAAAGGCTATTTACACAATACCAGTGCCCATAGCACGAATCAATATCGAATTCGTAACGTTTCTGAGTACAAAATGCCATTGTCAAATGTGTACTGATTTTTAGATCTCGTTGCGTCCGTTATGACGCTGCTGTTCAAGATTCCATACAAAATTTGACAATGGCATTTCGGACTCGCAAACTATTCGAATTTTATAATGGTTCGTGCTAGGGGTACAGCACTTAACATTGCTGTTCGTATTTGTTATTTGTAAACATGACAAATCTCTCCTTTTCATTCCCTATAGCGTATGATAAGGGCAATCTGCTGTAAAAAGGACAAATAGCAAATACGAATAGCAATGTCAAGTGTCAGCATAACACGATCCGAGCTGTGAAGCAAATGTGCGGACGACATCATGGCAGGAAACGACAGCATAAAATTATGCAATCGATTTCGGTCTATGAATACAATCATTAAAGTTGAAATTCGATTGGAGAACATTAACTGTTTTGTAGGTTATGCAAAATATCTGAATGGATACGACCTTTTTTATTTTTATAACAATAAACTGTTGATCTTATCATTTACCAATGATTGATTCTCGGAAACTGCCAGTATATTTTTTTTTTTTTTATATTGCGGTAGTGAGGTAATAAAAGGTAAAAATTTTCACTTCACTACAGTTTTCAGTCAAAATTTTCAAACCGTTGCTGCGTTGTACTGAAATTTGCTGTCATTTTTATCAATACATTTTCAATATCCTCAGCAAATATAGCGTAACAAATATGTAATGCATAGATGAAGATTTATACAAAAAAATGGTTGCCTGTAAAGTCGGTTTTACGGGCGAAGATTTTACGTGACAACGTCTTTTTCTCGGTAGAATATTTATTGATATGAATATAATTAAATTGCACAATAGTAACAAGGAATTGAATGAAAATAAGAATTGCACAAATTTTAACTATAGAAATATATTTTGTTTACTAAAACATTGTACATGTAAACTTAAACTTAACACGAGAGACTCATCGTAACGTTACCGAGCGTTACACTTTTTCATAAGTGACTCCCAGCCGCAACCTAATTTAAGACGTTGTCACGTCAAAAAAACAATACAAGCAATTTTAGTACTTAACAAACAAAATAACAATGTTGCAAAACCTTGCAAAAAATAAATTGTACAGTAATAGGGATGATGACTAATTTTTTTTTCTTCGTTTATCAGGTAGATTATCAAAAAGTATTGGACACGTATTTTTTGTTTTTTCATATAATATATATTTTTCATATACATTGCAGAGATATATTGATTTGAAAAGTCGCATGACGTCACGTTTGAGTACACTTTTAAGCGAATATTCACTAAAAAGTGTCACGTCACGAGCCCCTACTCCCAAACTTTGACGCGCTTTTGAAGTTATAGAACTTTGTCATTTTTTGGTTGATTGCCCAAAGAAAAAATACGTGTCCATTATTTTTCGATCATCTAACTGACGGACTATTTAGTCCGTCTATTAGAATTTCGTTTACTGTACCCCGACATCACCCCTATTATGATGGAAATAGGTATACCCTCTACATATATAATATTGAGATTAAAATTGTAATACCACTGGGTCATCCATTATATTCTTTTATAATATGGCAAAGATCATTTCATCTCGATAACAGATTTATAAATAATTAAGTTGCCAAAAATCACGAAAACAAATAATAAATTCTACTGCAACACATACATTACCTCTCTCCACTAAAATATCTACAAAAAAAAACGATGTCTAACTAAATACAATTTAATGCAGCCATAATATACCTAGATAAAGGAAAAACTTCGATAAAGTTATAATAGAGGCGAGCTGTTTTTGAAGTGAAACTTCTTTATCGGCGTTGGAAAAAATTTACCGTCACATTTTTATTCGGTTACGCGTCACGTTTTTCGGTTACGCGCCATCTTTTTTTTAAAAGAGCACTATTTACCTCATCCGAACAATTGCTTCTTCTGTCAACTTTAAAAAAAAAAAGTATCGACAGCAAATATTCGTGTTTCACACAAGGTAAGGTAAGGTAAGGTGTAGTTATACCCCTTTAGTGGGTGAGTTTTTGAAAAATCTTAGCGCACGCCTATATATATATTTCTGGAAAGTTGCATGTAGATCATTTTTCGAAAAAAATAAGGCCATAAAGAAGTTTCACTTCTTACGTGTGTACACTAGTACACGCACACATTTTTTTTTAACAAAATACTGGCACTGTTATCTAATTTTATCAGTTCAGGCGATATTAAAGGCGACCTTCATCAACTTTAAACGTGCTTGGAAATTAATTGTCTCTTATTAATATTAAGTGCAACATTTAATATCGTTATAGTCATCGTTGTCCATTCTATTCTAACTTACACAGCTTTGCCGCCGAGAACGACACAATAAGATTAGGTTTTGTAATTCACCATATATTTTTATTGATTTTAAAGTAAACACCTTGAATTGAAGTATGCCGTGTTCGGTACCCCAATTACGAACAACTAAACAGAAAGTATTTTTATAATAATATCAAAGTTTTTATGGAAAAAGCTAGTTTGTTCTCACGTCCAGTAGAGGCGCTGCTTAGCTTCCATAGAAACTTTGACGATGCGATGCGAATACGGATCTGCCGAAGTTCGTGTTCTTTTCCGATGGTGGTGTAATGAGGTGACGTCATACACATAGAAATAGATCGTCGTTGTACCAAAAATCCAGTAAATTGAAATTAGTTGATAATCGGTACAAATTGCGAATATCCATTAATGTGTTGGATTAACGGAAAAACAATAATGATTGCCTTTCGGCGTCTGTAAGTATAGTAACGTGTCCTATCTGGGCATCGCCTGCACCTGCCGCTTGAGTAGCACCAGCTCGTCGAGCTGCGCCTTGTAGAGCTGTGTGACGTCATGCAGGTCCAGCTTAGCCTCCGACAGCTGTTCCTCCTTCTCACCGTACATTTGAAGCAAAGCGTCGTACTGTTCTTGGAGACTCTGGTGGGCAAAACGATGTGTGGTTAAAATAAATCTAACTTATATTATAAATGTGAAAGTTTGTAAGTTTGTTGGTACTCAATCACGCAAAAACTACTGTACGGATTGGGATGAAATTTGGTACGCAAATATGACCTGGATTGAGACATAGATTACTTTTTATTCTGGAAAAATGTTCCGAGGGATTCTTAAAAAACTAAAATTTCTTACACACACAACTAAAACACCAATTAGCTTAGCCCTAAACTAAGCACTGTAAGGCTTGTGTTTTGGTATAATACAGAAACAAATAGAATACCTGTACTAATACTTCTATTCATAAGTATATTTATATAAAAAAACATACTTTATCCTCAAATTAACGTGGGTGAGACCGCAGCGAGCCTCTAGCTGTGGCATAACTGTAATAGTTAGACATTTGGTATCGCGGACTTTTTTGTATATATTGATGTCCTCTATAAAACTGTTGTACCATCACTTTGCTCTATTGTAAATAAATTCGCAGCGTACGAGATATAAAGTAATTTTTTGGTATACTTTTTCACACTTTTGAAAACTTTGATGAGTCCCAATGTGTCATACATTGGGACTCATCAAAGTTTTCATACGGAACCCTAAATTTTTTGGACATACTTTATAGCCTATGTTCATTGGGGATAATTCAGGATTCTAAATGTGAAAGAATTTTTAAAATTGGTCCAGTAGTTTCGGAGCCTATAATATGTACAAACAAACAATAAAATCTTTCCTCTTTATAATATATTAATTTAAATAATAATATAAGCACGACACGTTTATATCAAACGGCGTACTTGCAAAAAAGTGAATAGCCATTTCGGCTTTTTAGGGAAGGCCTGTCCTCACTCAATAGTTGTCGATACATAACTAATGCCTCAAAGCAAAACCATACCGCGATTTAAAGTACAGACAGCGTCATCTGTTGGTGTAATTTGGAACTGCGTTTCCTAAGATCATAAATGCTTATAGAAATATGGGTATATAAATTTATACGGAGGTTTTTCTCTTAGTTGTTTTTTTTTTCTTTTTATGCGACCAGTTTTTGAGATATATATTTGAGTTTCAAGGTGTTGGTCTGGGTTCGTCCTTACAGTGCTTCTTTTGGGGCTAGGTTAATTAGTATGACTATTAGAAATATTTTATTGCAGTATGCAACAAGCTCGAACTTGTGCTTGTATAAAATCAGCTGTCATTCGTCAAAATCCGGGTGGTGTTTTATCTAATAAAATTATTTTTTTATTATAAAAATTTATTATTGTTATCTGTATAAGTTAAAGTATAACGATTACACAAATAAAAATTTTTGATTCACTTTAGTGAGGTTATTGAGAGTGGGTATAATTCATACTTATTAATAATATAAATGCGAAAGTGTGTCTGTCCGTCTGTTACCTCTTCACGCTTAAACCACTGAACCGATTAAGATGAAATTTGGTATAGAGACAGTTTGATTTTCGTGAAAGAACATAGTATAGTTTTTATCCCTGACATCATCCTTTAAGGGGGTGAAAAGGGGAGTGAAATTTTATATGGGAAATTAGTACCACCAACGCTGTTCGGACATTTTCTTTATGCACTTTTTGTGAGACCATTAGGTGTTTAAGAGAGGAGAGGGGCAGTGATTTTTCATAAAAACGTTCTCGGCTGATTCCTCTTTGATTTTCATCACTTAAAAAATTAATTTTCATACATAAAATATAATTTTACTCATTTTATGCTCTTATGTCTTCCTTTTTTCGGTAACTTGTGTTTCAAAGAAACTAGAAGTCCTCGAAAAAAATCAAAAATAAACAAATTTTTATCACCACTAAAGACGTCTAGTGTGAAGATTAAGTAAGCATTTACAAAAAAATCAAAACAAAGAGTCATAGTATAAATACTTATTATTCTTTACGTAAAATTAATTTTACATATATTCAATTTTCGAGGTGGAAATCGTCGAGAGCCAAACCTCGAATTTTGCAATTTTTATACGCAATTTTCAGCGTTGCAGCAACTGTTGTCCCTATTCGTATTGGCTAATGCGTGACAGCAATAGTTTTTTCAAATACCTATTTCTCAAATGTCTCTCAGCTCGCGTCCGCTCTTAGGCGTGATGACGGGGTACAGTAAACGAAATTCTATTTAGTCCGTCAGTCAGATGATTAAAAAATAATGGACACGTATTCTTTCTTTGGGCAATCAACCAAAAAATGACAAAGTTATAGCGCGTCAAAGTTTGGGAGTAGGGGCTCGTGACGTCACTTTTGAGTGAATTTTCACTTATAAGTGTACTCAAACGTGACGTCATGCGACTTTTCAAATCAATATATCTCTGCAATGTTTATATTATGTGAAAAAAGACAGAATACGTGTCCAATACTTTTTGGTAATCTACCTGATAAACGAAGAAAAAAAACTTAGTTATCATCCCTATTGCTTATATATCAATGGGCGAAGTATAGTATAGGTTGTCGTAACACGACAAAAAAGAATGCGCAGCAGACGCTTCTGTGTGTGCAAAATTGCTTCTGCGCAGGATTCGTTGTCTACGGTCAGCGCTCAAGAAGAAAGAAGTAATATATACTAATTACAACACGTACAAAGAAATTTGGTGACTCATTTCTTTATCGCACTATCAGTAAATGGAATGCTCTGCCCGCTCACGTATGGGGCTCCTTACAACTTGGGATCCTTTAAAAGAAAGCGTAAAGAAGCAACTTGCAGGCCGGCAAAGTGAGGATAGCTGGTGTGGCAGGTAGAACTGCTGTATCAGCTATCTTCACGTCTGGACTTCACCATTTATTTATTTATTTCAGGAAAACAACAGCATTGTCTTAATTTCTAGTTACATTTGTAATATTTCTTAAACTAATGCCAATAACAGTATTCCTGGTAACATATTTATTTGTGTAACATTTTTGAGTCTATTTTTAAAGTTCATTCAAAGATATTTGCAACAATAGTTTCATTTCTATCTTTATGTTAATTAATTAAGATATCCCACGACATGTTTATAAAACAACATGAATACAATGTTTATTATCATATAACGAAGCAATAAAATATACATAAGTACGAACCCCTTACGTGTCTCATTATTTAGCCAAATATGCTTAATCAATACAATGTACTTTCCCCGATCATTCATTAGTTAGGAGCTTTACAATGAATTGCTTAAAAGTACGTTTTGTCCCTATAAAAGGATCAGCAGTGCTAAAATGTTTATTATAGTTATTGGATAATCGTGTGAGTGGCGCATTTTGAGCATAATTAGTGGAGTGAGTGGAAAAGAGAAAAACCATTACTTAACATCAGGTGAGGTGGAGTTATTTGCCGGACCTATCTATGAAATAAAACGAGCGAGCCTTACAGTAGTCGCGTATGATGTGTAACATTTGAAACCTCACCTTATATTACTAAAAAAAAGAAATAAAAACCAATAGGAATAAGCCATTTGAACATTATGTTCTAAAATCAAATCAAATAGCGCGCGCTTCCCAAACTTCCTGTTACACACTTCCGTCCCATTTCACGGAATCACTCCCACAAATTGCAGGAAAGCGAGAGGCAAAATGTTACACATCAATAAATAACTTGTCTGACCTTCTATATATATATATATATATATATATATGTATAGGTACCTGGTGATGATCCGCGTTGGCAGTGAGGCGGGCCACAGTGTCCCTGAGGGCGGCGTGGGCCCGCCTCATGTTGTTGAGCTCGGAGGTCAGTGACCTCAGCTCCCCCTCGCGGCGCCTCAAGGCTGACAGTGTTTGTTCCACGCCTATCGCGGAACTGTATATGTATAGGTACCTGGTGATGATCCGCGTTGGCAGTGAGGCGGGCCACAGTGTCCCTGAGGGCGGCGTGGGCCCGCCTCATGTTGTTGAGCTCGGAGGTCAGTGACCTCAGCTCCCCCTCGCGGCGCCTCAAGGCTGACAGTGTTTGTTCCACGCCTATCGCGGAACTGTATATGTATAGGTACCTGGTGATGATCCGCGTTGGCAGTGAGGCGGGCCACAGTGTCCCTGAGGGCGGCGTGGGCCCGCCTCATGTTGTTGAGCTCGGAGGTCAGTGACCTCAGCTCCCCCTCGCGGCGCCTCAAGGCTGACAGTGTTTGTTCCACGCCTATCGCGGAACTGTATATGTATAGGTACCTGGTGATGATCCGCGTTGGCAGTGAGGCGGGCCACAGTGTCCCTGAGGGCGGCGTGGGCCCGCCTCATGTTGTTGAGCTCGGAGGTCAGTGACCTCAGCTCCCCCTCGCGGCGCCTCAAGGCTGACAGTGTTTGTTCCACGCCTATCGCGGAACTGTATATGTATAGGTACCTGGTGATGATCCGCGTTGGCAGTGAGGCGGGCCACAGTGTCCCTGAGGGCGGCGTGGGCCCGCCTCATGTTGTTGAGCTCGGAGGTCAGTGACCTCAGCTCCCCCTCGCGGCGCCTCAAGGCTGACAGTGTTTGTTCCACGCCTATCGCGGAACTGTATATGTATAGGTACCTGGTGATGATCCGCGTTGGCAGTGAGGCGGGCCACAGTGTCCCTGAGGGCGGCGTGGGCCCGCCTCATGTTGTTGAGCTCGGAGGTCAGTGACCTCAGCTCCCCCTCGCGGCGCCTCAAGGCTGACAGTGTTTGTTCCACGCCTATCGCGGAACTGGCGCTAGTGTACACGCCCATGCCTAGGTTTACTGGCGTCATTGAGCCCTCGTCCTGGAACAAACAAATAATGTTAATAAATAATAATAAATATTTCTAACACACACACCGATTAGCCTAGCCCCAAAGAAAGTACTATAAGGCTTGTGTTATGGGATACTAGGGTAACGGATAGATTACTGTACATATATAAATATATTTATATAGAAATACATATTAAACATCCATGACTGGAGCACAAATGCTCGTATTCATCACACAAACATCTGCCCCCATCGGGATTCGAACCGGGACCTCTCGAGTCGACGACACCATGAAAACCGGCGTACTAACCACTCGGCCACGGAGGTCGTCCATCATCATCAGCCTATTAATATCCTCACTGCTGGGGCACAGGCCTTCCCTATGGATGAAATAGGGAGTGCGGGCCATGACCCACCACGCAGGTCCAGTGCGGCCTACAGATGCAGCCGAGACCAACAGCTTAACATGCCTTCCGAAGCACGGAGGAACACGAGATAGAACATTTTTGGTCACCCATCCAAAGACTGACCAATGCGAAAGTTGCTTAACTTCAACGATCGCAGAAGCACGCGCAAACCACTTGCGCCATCGAGCTCCTCATATTTACTATTTTTTTTTATAATTAGAAATTACAACATTCTCTAAAAGTAGGGCGATGTTACGTTTTTCAATAAAACCTTATTTATTGAAGTTGCGCCTAGTCAATGAGGGCTATCGCGTATGAATCCGCCGCTAGAGGCGCTAGTGTAGCGTGAGGTCTCCGAAATGTCAAATGTTATTGCTTGTTGGTTGACTACGCGGATTTATTTCTTATTAAAATAATGTTGTGAATAATTGGTAACAATTCGGCTTAATTATGGCAAAGAATGTCAGTTATTAAAAATTTGAGCTTAGAAAAATGATTATGTTCCCATTTTTTCCGAATAAAACGGAACTGGGCGTCATTGTGGCATGGCCTATTATGTTTAGGATATGGTTCTTTTGTGTTAAAAGACGATCTAAATGTAACCTTTGATTTCATGTGCGTATTAATAAACTTTAAAAGTTACAATTTAGGACCTCACTCAACAGTGGCGCCATCTGGTGAGACAGAAAACGGTAGCCCTCATTATTAGCTAGTGTTTAGTTTATATGATAACACTCGTCTTTCGCTTGTTTCACTTGTTTCAATATATGTATATGCAAATGAATAACAATGAACAGCACGAAAATACATATTTTGGTGAATTAATGAATATTTATGAAATCTTTTGTCAATACAACATGTTTTTACTTATGTTTTTGAATTAGCATAACTTGAGAACTTGACTAACTAGACACCAACTGTACTAACAATTTCTGTGTAATCATAATTTAATTTAAAAATAGTAAAAATATGAGTTTGAATCATAGTAATATAAAATATTGTCTGCGAACAAATTGATCGTTAACATGAATATATAAATTTGAAGTAACTTTAATTTAATCACAATATTTTCAATGCAAATTGAATGGTTTTAAACTTTGGTGCATTGTTCCATCTACAGTCAAATTTGACTATAGTTGATGTCACGTCAAATACCTATATGTTCTAACACTGTTTTTTTTTTCATGTAAATTCAATATTATAAAGTAATGTCTTCAGCATATTGCGAATACCGCGCGTAAATGACTTATACATAATTGTTTCTAAGTGACCGAAATACGTAAGTACGATAGGTCACTGACTGAACATATCTATCTATTACCTAAACCTACCTACCTACCATTACTCGTACATAACTGAGGCTGTCAGCGCAAAAGTGGCCTAACCCTCATATTAAAGTTCATCTTCTACAATTAAATAAAAATGTGTTAAAATTTAATTCAAAATCGGCCTATCTATCGTTTTACCAGGCGTCAATAGATGGCGTTGCAAAAGTTTTTTTTGCATTGATTTCTTCTCTCAACGTAAACTTCATAATTATGTGACCATAGCCGCTTAATCAGTGGTAACGCCAAAACATTCTAATCTCTAATTTCATACCGTTTCGATCAATTTTCGAATAAACCGCATCCCAATAGATCCTTCTCCTCAAACACTGTGCCTTATGCTAATGAGGGAAGAAGACGCAATATATTTGCCTGCAACGACAAATGGCCGGGAGGAAATGGCTGTCGGCAGGCCGACGAAAAAAAATTCTGTCACCGCGTAAGAACGAAATGGTCGTATTTTTCATCGCTCCGCAACAATTGTGATATAGATATTTTTCCGCATTAAAGTCATATAAATAAGTGTGAAGATTAATAAACAATCTTTAAGTGAACAGTTTTCGCGCAAATAGGAGGTTTGTGTGTGATTGGTGATAGCTATCAAAAGGGACTTTCTTGACCGCCATCTTTAACCGCTGGCATCAGGACAAGACTGCTGCAGGAGAAGCCGGCGTATGAGCCAGCGCCACCATCGAGGCCCTCAAGTAAGCACAGTGTTTTTCATCCTATCCCATTAACCAAACCCCCTTAATACTTCGAACCACACCTACAGTCCACTCTCCGGGGTTTCGACCCCACCAGATATCCTTTACCGCATTCGGCACCACCAATCAGAATATGAATAATTGAGGGTTAGGCCACTTTTGCGCTGACAGCCTCAACTATAGATGAAACAACACGGCCTAATATTATAGTAATTTGTCTCTCGACTTTTTGGCGGGATCGGGAAGCGTCACTTTAGCAGTTTTGTTTTTCTTGTTAAAAATTGTGTTGTGGCGGATGTTAGTGTCTAATAATGGTGGATTATTAACCACAAGTGTTCGGAAACATGCACAAGTGTTGGCAAGTGAAACAAAATAGTGGAAAGTGTCTTTCGACGTTCCCTCAAGTCCACGGGGAGCTTCCAGTAAATCCCCACACATTTACTGAAACATAGGGAAATGGGGATTGACTTGACTGCCACTTACTTTGACTTGATTTATTACTTTGACCGCGAGGGCTATAGTATTTGTAAATATTTTAATACTTGACATTGGCTAAATGCACTAGCCATGCGAAGCCATTTAGAAAGAAATAAAAAGAAGTAATTTGTCTATATATATGTAAACGAGGTTCATTACCCTTCATTCAATACAGACGGTAAAATAGTGAGTGACCATAGAAAAAGATATGGTTTTGACATCCGTCAATTAATAAATAAAATATAATATTTGTGCACGAAAAATTGTACGAAATAATAGCTATAAATGTTGTTTCTCATTTCTGAGCAACACAATTGTTTTATTTCGTAATGAAATCTATTTAGTTTATATATATATAAAATCACATTATGTATATAGTATAAAAAACCATGTAAATATGAACGAATCTCACCTGCATCCAGCCAGAGTCGGAGACGGAGACGGAGACGGAGGCGGAGTCGGAGCCCACGGAGTGTGGCGACACGTGTCCGCGACTCGACACCTGCTCCTGGGACACAATGACCAAACAACATTATACAGAGTCGGAGACGGAGACGGAGACGGAGACGGAGGCGGAGTCGGAGCCCACGGAGTGTGGCGACACGTGTCCGCGACTCGACACCTGCTACTGGGACACAATGACCAAACAACATTATACAGAGTCGGAGACGGAGACGGAGACGGAGACGGAGGCGGAGTCGGAGCCCACGGAGTGTGGCGACACGTGTCCGCGACTCGACACCTGCTACTGGGACACAATGACCAAACAACATTATACAGAGTCGGAGACGGAGACGGAGACGGAGGCGGAGTCGGAGCCCACGGAGTGTGGCGACACGTGTCCGCGACTCGACACCTGCTCCTGGGACACAATGACCAAACAACATTATACAGAGTCGGAGACGGAGACGGAGACGGAGGCGGAGTCGGAGCCCACGGAGTGTGGCGACACGTGTCCGCGACTCGACACCTGCTCCTGGGACACAATGACCAAACAACATTATACAGAGTCGGAGACGGAGACGGAGACGGAGGCGGAGTCGGAGCCCACGGAGTGTGGCGACACGTGTCCGCGACTCGACACCTGCTCCTGGGACACAATGACCAAACAACATTATACAGAGTCGGAGACGGAGACGGAGACGGAGGCGGAGTCGGAGCCCACGGAGTGTGGCGACACGTGTCCGCGACTCGACACCTGCTCCTGGGACACAATGACCAAACAACATTATACAGAGTCGGAGACGGAGACGGAGACGGAGGCGGAGTCGGAGCCCACGGAGTGTGGCGACACGTGTCCGCGACTCGACACCTGCTCCTGGGACACAATGACCAAACAACATTATACAGAGTCGGAGACGGAGACGGAGACGGAGGCGGAGTCGGAGCCCACGGAGTGTGGCGACACGTGTCCGCGACTCGACACCTGCTCCTGGGACACAATGACCAAACAACATTATACAGAGTCGGAGACGGAGACGGAGACGGAGGCGGAGTCGGAGCCCACGGAGTGTGGCGACACGTGTCCGCGACTCGACACCTGCTCCTGGGACACAATGACCAAACAACATTATACAGAGTCGGAGACGGAGACGGAGACGGAGACGGAGGCGGAGTCGGAGCCCACGGAGTGTGGCGACACGTGTCCGCGACTCGACACCTGCTCCTGGGACACAATGACCAAACAACATTATACAGAGTCGGAGACGGAGACGGAGACGGAGACGGAGGCGGAGTCGGAGCCCACGGAGTGTGGCGACACGTGTCCGCGACTCGACACCTGCTCCTGGGACACAATGACCAAACAACATTATACAGAGTCGGAGACGGAGACGGAGACGGAGGCGGAGTCGGAGCCCACGGAGTGTGGCGACACGTGTCCGCGACTCGACACCTGCTCCTGGGACACAATGACCAAACAACATTATACAGAGTCGGAGACGGAGACGGAGACGGAGGCGGAGTCGGAGCCCACGGAGTGTGGCGACACGTGTCCGCGACTCGACACCTGCTCCTGGGACACAATGACCAAACAACATTATACAGAGTCGGAGACGGAGACGGAGACGGAGGCGGAGTCGGAGCCCACGGAGTGTGGCGACACGTGTCCGCGACTCGACACCTGCTCCTGGGACACAATGACCAAACAACATTTTAAATTGTATTTTTTTAAGCATATAACAACTGTCTCGTGAATCCTGTCTGCTGCCTGGTCCGGAATTTTTTCTAGCAAAATTTTCTTTACATTTAATCATCTAGCAGTTATATGCTTCACCATCATCATCATCGACCTATTGATGCCCCCACTGCTGGGGCAAAGGTCTTCCCTATGGATGGCATAGGAGTTTGGGCCATGACCCACCACGCGGGCCCAGTGCGGATTGGCGGGTGCTAACGACTGCAGATGCAGCCGAGACCGACGGCTTCCGAAGCACGGAGGAACGGGAGATAGTAAATTTTTGGTCACCCATCCAATGACCGACCACTGCGAAAGTTGCTTAACTTCAACGATCGCAGCGGAACGCGCTAACCACCCACGCCATCGAGCTCCTCGACCATGTTGTGTTGTATTGTTTACCTGCAATATAGCGTTTCTGTTCCTCTCGGTGGCTAGGGCGCTGCTCTCCGCTTCTAATCTTCTCTCCACGTCTTCTACTCTCTTCTGCCATTCCTTTAGCAGCTCTTCCTTCTCGTTCTTCACGGCTTCTAGTTCTTCAGTTTTGCTAAAAATCGAAAAACATTTCTAAGTGAAAAAATTGCTAGTAGGACATTAGAGTGCCCCATAAAATTAGAGTGCCCCATAAAGGCATACCGAAACGAATGAATATTGACACTTATTATAATATCGAGCGAAATTAGTTTTAAACTTCTGTGTTTTTATTTTTATTTTGTTTTAAAGTAATATGTGTTTCATGTATTTGATAAAGTATATTGTGTTTGATTTGTACTTGTGAAAACTGTTTGGCTTAACAATGCTACATTATTTCGTTATATCCTTTGTTTTAAAATGCCGTTTGTTTTTCAAGAATAAATAAATAAATAAATAACGGCAAAAAAACACGTCTGTTATATGGGAGCCCCCTTAAATATTTGTTTTATTTTAATAATTACTATAAACACCTTATAGGTAATCTATACTTATAATAAATCTGTAGAGATGTCAATTCTGTACATGAAATATATTTTCAAAATAACTATCAGGGGGTGATTAGTGATCGATACTGATGCCAAAAATGCAATCAGTAAAATTTTTGTCTGTCTGTCTGTCTGTGTGTATGTTCCTTATAGAACCAAAAACTACTCGACGGATTTTAACGAAACTTGGTACAATTATTCTTCATACTCCTGGGCAGGTTATAGTATACTTTTCATCACGCTACAGTAAATAGGAGCAGAGTAGTGAAGGGAAATGTTGGGAAAACGGGAGAAGTTACTCCATTTTTTTAGCTTCCGTTGCGTGTGCAGTTACATAGAAATCATGTATGACGGAAATATTCTACATAGAATTGTCTAAAAAATATCCCGCAACAGCATATGTCTATCTTTTATGGTTGACTCACAATAACACGTAACTCCTGATAGCTTAGCAGTTCGGAGTATTCTGATTATATTTGTTTACTCTTATGTTTATAATACTCTCACTCATCCCTAATTTAAAAAAGTTAACATTATTACCTATTCCATAAAAAAAGAATCATAGAAATCGGTATAGAAACACCAAACTTTATATGAAATAAGCCATCGCGCCGTCGCACGTGAATACTGAATCATGCTATAAAAGGATTATTTTTGTGTAACGGTTGACGCGCTCGACACGGGTCGCGGCGGCGGTAGGTATAAGAAGAATGTCATTGTGTATAATACAGGCCTGAGAACAATAACTATAGTCTACACTTCAGCTCTACACCGAAGCGAAGCGAGGGCGGGCCACAAGTAAATAATAATAAATAAATATTTCCAACACTCACACCAATTACCCTAGCCTCAAAGTAAGCACTATAAGACTTGTGTTATGGGATGCTAGATTAACGCATAGAATACATATACTGTACATATATAAGTATATTTATATAGAAATATATATATATTTAACATCCATGACTGGAGTACAAATGCTCGTATTCATCATACAAACACCACTGCCCGGGATTCGAACCCGGGACCTCGAGAGTCGGCAACACCATGAAACCCGACGTACAAACCACTCGGCCACGGAGGTCGTCAAAAAAATGTTTTCTTGTAGTGTTCAGGCACAGCTACATTTCAATGAATATAAATATTACCTGCGCAGTAATTCCTCGCAGTGTGATATGTTCCTCACATAGCTTAGTATCCTGATCTCATAAATAGCGCGTCTTGTCTTCTTCCGGGTCAGATAAATGTTGCTAAATAAAGGAACATTAATTCCTGTTTATAATATTAGTACCTAAAGATGAATATAGATATTACCTGCGCAGTATTTCCTCGCAGTGTGCCAGCTGTGTGATATGTTCCTGACATAGCTTAGTAGCCTAATCTTATAAATAGCGCGTCTTGTCTTCTTCCGGGTCAGATAAACGTAGCTGCATTAATGCACATTACTTCATGTTTATAATATTAATACCTATAACTGAATATAAATATTACCTGCGCAGTAATTCCTCGCAGTGTGCCAGCTGTGTTGATATGTTCCTGACACAGTTTAGTATCCTGGTCTTCTAAATCGCGCGTCTTGTCTTCTTCCGGGTCAGATAAATGTTGCTAAATAAAGGAACATTCCTTCCTGTTTATAATATTAGTACCTATAGATGAATGTAAATATTACCTGCGCAATAATTCCTCGCAGTGTGTCAGCTGTGTGATATGTTCCTGACATAGCTTAGTATCCTGATTTTCTAAATCGCGCGTCTTGTCTTCTTCCGGGTCAGATAAATGTTGCTAAATAAAGGAACATTCCTTCCTGTTTATAATATTAGTACCTATAGATGAATGTAAATATTACCTTCGCAATAATTCCTCGCAGTGTGCCAGCTGTGTGATATGTTCCTGACATAGCTTAGTAGCCTGATCTTATAAATAGCGCGTCTTGTCTTCTTCCGGGTCAGATAAATGTTGCTAAATAAAGGAACATTCCTTCCTGTTTATAATATTAGTACCTATAGATGGATATAAAGATTACCTTCGCAATAATTCCTCGCAGTGTGCCAGCTGTGTGATATGTTCCTGACATAGCTTAGTGGCCTGATCTTGAAGCAGGCGTGTTTTTTGAAGCGCTTCTTCAGCATCAGACAACCGTTGTTGCATTACGGAGCATTCCTCCTTCATTAAACGCTCGCGTTCTAGAGCCTTCGCCGCTGACGCTTCGGCTTCATCTGGGTGTGATAATTACATTATATATAACACTTTGAATAGGTTTGGTAGAGACCGATTTTTTAAGATTTTTTGATTACAAAGTGTTAGAACTAATATGGCGTAGCTTCTTCACCTTTACAAGTGCTTGTAACAGCCTAGACTGAATAAATGACTTTTCATTTCTTTTCATTTCATTTTCATTTCATTTCATATAAACCTGTGGATATAAACGTGTGTATATACGGGTGTTGTTTAATAATACATACAGTTTCTTGGTAATCCAATGTATTCGGGGAATCCCACAATTTATCACACGTAACAATTATCACGATGTACACAGAAGGCTAATACAGTAACACAATACAACACGTAGAAACAAATATTATAAGCGAACAAACGAAATCGGTAACAACAACTGGTAAACAGATTTGAGCGCATCAACGTCGGACATTGACTGGAGTTCACGCATTCAAAAAGGCGGTGGTTTTCGCACGATACGCGAAACTACCTACGCGCGTAGAACAAACGGCGCGTTGCCACTGCACTATGCGAGTTACGTTTCTCCGGCATATTTATCGTATGAAGTGAATTAAGTTTATTGATGAATACTTATAAAAGATTTTGACTTATTATTAATGTGCCTGTGTAATGTATGTGTGATAGTGTGATGTAAATATTAAAGTTATGTAAATAATTAGTTTTTAGTTTGTGTAAATAAATATATTAAATATTTTAATACTAGTAGTTATATTAAATAAATGAAATAGAAGCCCACAAACCAAACAATGTAAATTGTCATAGTTATCTTAATAGCTCACTAGTTGGAGCCACTGTCTATGCGTTGATTATGTCGTTCTATTCGGTCGTATAATACTCTCTCTTGTGTCAACTGTTTTTCTGTGCTAACGATATAGAAATAAATCTCAGTGTATCAATTTAATCTCTTTTTATTTTCGCCCAAATCTATCACAAAGAAGTATATCATATGGTGTTGGGATGATAAGCAAGCACAGTCTATCAAACTTGTTTTAGTAGCGCACTTGGGAGTCCCACTGGATTCTAGTCAAAGGTAAAAATGACAATTAAACATTGTGTAGTATTAATAAAGAAGCTCGATGGCATAGGGCCTAGCGCGTTTAGTTTGCGAACGTGGAAATTAAGTAACTTTTGCAATGGCCGGTCATCGAATGGGTGACCGAAAACTTATTTAAATAACCTTTGTGTTTTGGAAGGCACGTTAAGTTGGTGGCCAAAGCTGCATCCGGCCTGCGACAATCTAAGGTTTTTTAATAAAAATGAGGAGCTCGAAGACGCAAGTGGTTAGCACGTCCGGCTGCGATCGTTGAAGTTAAGCAACTTTCGCAATGGTCGGTCATTGGATGGGTGACCAAAAATCTTCTATTTCGAATTCCTCCGTGGTTCGGAAGGCACGTATAGCCGTCGGTTCCGGCTGCATCTGCAGTCGTAAGCACCCGTCAATCTGCACTGGGCCCGCGTGATGGATCACGGCCCAATCTCCCTATCCCATCCATAGAGAAGGCCTGTGCCCCAGAAGTGCTCTGCTCCCGCTGCACGCAGGCCCGCTGCAGGCCGCCCAGCTGCGCTATGCGCTATGCGCTATGCGCGGAGTATAGTATCAGCCAGTGGTGGTATCGTCACCCGCGCGCCGCTGCAGCGTGGCCACGTGCCGCGCGTGCCGCTGCTCCCGCTGCACGCAGGCCCGCTGCAGGCCGCCCAGCTGCGCTATGCGCTATGCGCTATGCGCTATGCGCGGAGTATAGTATCAGCCAGTGGTGGTATCGTCACCCGCGCGCCGCTGCAGCGTGGCCACGTGCCGCGCGTGCCGCTGCTCCCGCTGCACGCAGGCCCGCTGCAGGCCGCCCAGCTGCGCTATGCGCTATGCGCTATGCGCTATGCGCGGAGTATAGTATCAGCCAGTGGTGGTATCGTCACCCGCGCGCCGCTGCAGCGTGGCCACGTGCCGCGCGTGCCGCTGCTCCCGCTGCACGCAGGCCCGCTGCAGGCCGCCCAGCTGCGCTATGCGCTATGCGCTATGCGCTATGCGCGGAGTATAGTATCAGCCAGTGGTGGTATCGTCACCCGCGCGCCGCTGCAGCGTGGCCACGTGCCGCGCGTGCCGCTGCTCCCGCTGCACGCAGGCCCGCTGCAGGCCGCCCAGCTGCGCCAGGAGGCCGGCGGCCCCGTCCCCGGGCGCCCCGCCCGCCCCCGCCCCCGCCCCCGCCCCCGCCCCCGCCCCCGCCCCCGCCGCGCCGCCCGCCGCAGCCCCGGAGCCCGCCCCCGCCACCGCTTCGGCGCAAGCTTCCCGGAGCTCCTGCATCTCGCGTCGCAACGCTTCCTCGCGAGCGGCCCAGCGCCGCTCCTCTGGAGACAAATATTTTTGTGAGATTCGACAGTCCACACGAAAAAACGCTGCAAGATACGACATCTTGAAAACCCGGCTCGAGTCCCGACCGATCGCCGCGACTTAAGAAAATTCATAAATGACAATGATGACGGTTCTTTTGCGCGAATGAATAACATAACAAAAAACTGATTTCCTGATCTTGAATTCGAATTCGAAGACCTTAGAGACCTTAATACACGTCTTTAAATACAAAAATTACAACATGACGCACGCTATTCTTATTTCTTTAGAATGGAAAATACGAACCTAACCTAACATGGAAAAAAGGTTACATGGACGGCAAACTTTTTGAGCAAAACCACAGACAAATTTGCACCGTAGACCTGTTTGTATGTAAAACTAGAAGTGGCCTGCGGTTTCACCCACACTAATTTGAGGACAAAAGTTATACCCTTAAAAGATAGACATATACGGTCGAGGACTTTTTTACAGAACTTTTAAAGGAGAACAACTCCACCATACATGATTTTTGTGTAACTTTTAGCGTTTACCCAGCGTTTACAAATAAAATATTTTTTTCCGTTTTTGCAACTTTTTTCATTGGTGCTGCGCTCCTTTCAGTGAAAGTTGTTATATAGCCTATAAACATATAATTTCAAATCGGACCAGTAGCTCCTGACATTAGCACGTTCAACCGAACTAACAATTGAACAAACTCTTCAGCTTTATAATATTAGTATAGACTGCTACTGCGCAGAATTCTTTCTCTATGGTCATTGCTCAAGGAATTTGCCGGGATGTATACTTAAATAAGACATTAATGACTCACCGCTAGAACAGTCCGCTCTCGGCTGCGTCATTTCGGCGATAACCCGCGACGCATGGTCCTGCAAGGCACGTTATTCTGCCCAGAGCTATGTCTATACCGTTCAGTCAGCTAAAATCTTATTGGGGTTACTTTAAATTGGTAATTGATGACTCACCACTAGCGCAGTCCGCCCTAAGCTACGTCAATTCGGCGATAACCCGCGAGGCATGGTCCTGCAAGGCACGTATTCTGCCCAGAGCAGTGTCTATACCGTTCAGTGAGCTAAAATCTAATTGGAGTTACTTTAAATTGGTAACTGATGACTCACCACTAGCGCAGTCCGCCCTAAGCTGCGTCAGTTCAGCGGTAACCCGCGAGGCATGGTCCTGCAAGGCACGTAATTCTACCCAGAGCTGTGTCTATACCTTTCTGCCAGCTTAAATCTTATTAGGGTTGCTTTAAATTGGTAACTGATGACTCACCACTAGCGCAGTCCGCCCTAAGCTGCGTCAATTCAGCGGTAACCCGCGAGGCATGGTCCTGTGAGGCACGTAATTCTACCCAGAGCTGTGTCTATACCTTTCTGCCAGCTTAAATCTTATTAGGGTTGCTTTAAATTGGTAACTGATGACTCACCACTAGCGCAGTCCGCCCTAAGCTGCGTCAATTCAGCGGTAACCCGCGAGGCATGGTCCTGTGAGGCACGTAATTCTACCCAGAGCTGTGTCTATACCTTTCTGCCAGCTTAAATCTTATTAGGGTTGCTTTAAATTGGTAACTGATGACTCACCACTAGCGCAGTCCGCCCTAAGCTGCGTCAATTCAGCGGTAACCCGCGAGGCATGGTCCTGTGAGGCACGTAATTCTGCCTCGAGCTGTGCCTGAGCTGCCCTCCTTCTTGTTAGCTCTGCCCCGCCTCGTTGTAGTTCATTCAATTCTTGACGAGCCGCTTCTAAGGACGTCCTACTGCTTTCTAAACGCTGAGTGGTGTCGTCTAAGGAGCTTTTCGTCTAAACAAATGGTATTAAACAGTTAACGACAAATTTTAAGTATGCGTCATTCATTTCAAGCGTAGCTACAACTATTAGGTCCATTTGCAGCAACTTTGCTAAATCTCAATTTAACGAAAACTAATTACAGCGCATACAATAATGTAAAATTGAAATTAACGTCGTTTGACAATTTAATATGGGTTTACCTAGTTTCAGGTGAATCAAGATTTAGCAAATTTACTGAAGGTGGGCCTTATAACATAACTGCGATTCAAATTTAAGCTGTGAAGTTAGCGCAAGTCGCGGCGCAGTAAAACGAAACAAAGGCAAATGAACATTTGATTTCTAGGCGCATCAGACGTATCTATGAAGTCATTTTTCAACTTGACGACTCTGTATATAACAATACAGGGAAAAAAACAGCCCTTGTTAAGTTTCTTGCCGGTTCTTCTCAGTACAAGGTCTCCCGCCGTAGTTTTGCGAACCGATGGCGTAGCTTCTTGACCTTCACAAGTGCTTGTAACAGCCTAGACTGAATGACTTTTCATTTCATTTCACTATACTAAAACCTGTGCAGTTGCGCTCGTTGCTAATTTCAGCACCGCTGTAACGCGCGAATTTCACTTTAATTCCTATCCCGCCACCTCTATGGACGACGCTATTCAGACGCTCCTATTTTCCAGACATATTTCATTAATGGAATCGGGTTAGTGGAGTACTTACTTTATCACACAATCGTTCACAAAACATAAGGATGGAAACTTGGTCGCACGAGGCTTTCATTGGGCGGATCAACATCAACACACACATCCCCATCCAGTTTTATTTACGCGTATAAGCTCCGAAGGAATATGTGCATCAAGTGGCAGAGATAAGGGTGAATTTGCTATGTTACGTTTCTGAATGACGCCTCGATGCGCTTCGACTCTGCGCTATATGGATCCTATTAATATAATTAATGTGAAAGTTTGTATGTTTGTTTATTCATTCATGCAAAAACTGCTGAACGGATTCGGGTGAAATTTGGTACGCATAGGCATAGGCAGTTTAGGACCTGGATTGAGACATAGGATACATTAGGAAAAGTGTTAGGTTTTTGAAGGATTTTCAAAAAAAATAAAGTTGACCGGGGCAAATTCGCGGGTGGTCGCTAGTTAACCATAACTCTTTACTGTAAATCTTTCAATATTACTGACTTGGCTTGTTGAATAGTTGAGTCGGTACACGGCCTCAATCTGGTTCACCTCTTATCCCTGCGGCTACATTCATCGTCACCTGCCTAATGATACTGACCTCAGCGAGCTCATGCTGCAGCGGCTTGTTGAATAGTTGAGTCGGTACACGGCCTCAATCTGGTTCACCTCTTATCCCTACAGCTACATTCATCGTCACCTGCCTAATGATACTGACCTCAGCGAGCTCCTGCTGCAGCCGCTTGTTGGCAGTGTTGAGTCGGTACACGGCCTCAATCTGGTTCACCTCTTATCCCTACAGCTACATTCATCGTCACCTGCCTAATGATACTGACCTCAGCGAGCTCCTGCTGCAGCGGCTTGTTGAATAGTTGAGTCGGTACACGGCCTCAATCTGGTTCACCTCTTATCCCTGCGGCTACATTCATCGTCACCTGCCTAATGATACTGACCTCAGCGAGCTCCTGCTGCAGCCGCTTGTTGGCAGTGTTGAGTCGGTACACGGCCTCAATCTGGTTCACCTCTTATCCCTGCGGCTACATTCATCGTCACCTGCCTAATGATACTGACCTCAGCGAGCTCATGCTGCAGCGGCTTGTTGAATAGTTGAGTCGGTACACGGCCTCAATCTGGTTCACCTCTTATCCCTGCGGCTACATTCATCGTCACCTGCCTAATGATACTGACCTCAGCGAGCTCCTGCTGCAGCCGCTTGTTGGCAGTGTCGAGTCGGTACACGGCCTCAATCTGGTTCACCTCTTATCCCTGTGGCTACATTCATCGTCACCTGCCTAATGATACTGACCTCAGCGAGCTCATGCTGCAGCGGCTTGTTGAATAGTTGAGTCGGTACACGGCCTCAATCTGGTTCACCTCTTATCCCTGCGGCTACATTCATCGTCACCTGCCTAATGATACTGACCTCAGCGAGCTCCTGCTGCAGCCGCTTGTTGGCAGTGTTGAGTCGGTACACGGCCTCAATCTGGTTCACCTCCAGCTCCTCCTTGGCTGCCATAGATCGCTTTACGCGCTCCAGTTCGCTCGCCTGCTCGGCTATTTTATCCCTAGGGTGAAATAATCATTATAAAGGGCCTACGCTAAAAAAATGTATGCTAAAATCCAATATATTTAGAAGTAAATTTACTTTTATGTACGTATATTTGTTATTCTTAACTGCTTAAGCACTGTACAAAGGAATTCATTCCCTAGTAATAAACAAAAAGTACAGGTGCGAAGCTCAATGGCACCAGTGGTTAACTTCAGTTAAGGTGTTCGATCTCCGATCATGAAAGTTAAGCAACTTTTGCAAAGGCCAGTCCTTAGATGGGTGAACCGATTTTTTTCCTAATAACCTCAGCGCTTCGGAAGTCGTGCGTCGCCCTTCGTTGGTCCCTGCAGTCGTTGGCACCTGTAATTTGCCTTGGGCCCTCTTGGTTTTGTCATGTCACAATCTCCCTATTCCATTCATAGGGAAGGTCTGTGCCTGTGCCATGATATATTGTTATTGTTTGTGATATATTTGTATTATTTATATTGATGTCCAATAGGCTGATTATGATGATTAAGTACAGATGATTACGCAATGATTATGTTGGCCCTAAACAGGCCAGTCAGTTCACCTCAAGCTCTTGATGACTTGCTCATTATCCTTCTCCTTAGCCCTGAGCTTCTTGATGATGTTCGAGTGCTGCAGCTGCTGCCGCGCCAGCTTCTCTCCCTCCTCCTGCAACTGGGAGATCACCTCGTCCTTCTCCTTGAGGGCATTCTCCAGCTCAGACGAGTTCTTGCGGGACGACGACTCTGACTTCAAAGTATCTAGTTGTTTCCTTAACTGATCCTGGTAGGGGGAGCCAAAAATATTTTTAAATAATTATTTTTCTTTAAATTGGAAGTATGATACAACCTTGAAAGGTGCAGTTTTTACCCCAACCACATGTTCAAGAAGTATATTGATTTCAAATTAAAATATTGAGATCAAGATAAAAACGTGAATAGCATTATTTTTCCAGTCTGTACAATAGATTAGAAGGAATAGAAAGCTATATTTTCAGATCCTATTTCTATGAGTAGATAAATCTATTTGAAATAGGAGAAAATGTCTGAAATGGTATTGTTTTATGAAGAAAAACCTCAAGTAAACTTATTATAATTTTATGCCAAAACAAAAAGCATACCTTTTCTCTTATAGCCTGTTGAAATTTCTTCTCTAATGCAGACATTCTCTGAGTATAATCTTCAGTTATGACACTGATGTCGCCTCCTTCATGCTTCGCTTGCATGGACTCCAGCTGACTCTTCAACTCAGCGTTGTTCTCAGCCAACTCTGCATTACTCCTGCTAACTTCTATCAGTCTGTTCTCTCTTGCCTCCAAGATCTCAGCCATCTCACACAGTCTTCGCATAAGTTTCTCATTTTCTGAACCTTGACTTTCATCACTTGTGTTACTTTGAACTGAAGCCTCAGACAACTCTCGATTGTGCCCACGTATTTTGGTAGCCAGGGACTTCCCTAACACCAAGTCTACAAGATTTGGAGAGGTAGTCCCATCGAATTTTGATTGCTTAAATGCATATTTTGCAGGACTATTCCTACAAAACCCATGTCCATTGTCACCATTTGGACTTGGAATTATTTCAATGTCGGATGAAGTGGTAGTTTCTAGTTCATCACCGGAAGTATGACCAGATGTTCTGTCAGAGCCAATTTTGACCAAATCACTTTTACTGTCAGAACTTATGGGAGAGGTTCTCTCTTTAATGCTGCTTTCTTTTCTGGATGACTCGCCACTCTCTGATGCAGTACATTGTTGTTTCTCAACATTAACAAATGCTGAACTCTCAGACCTTATCATGTCCCCTCTAACATTCACATTGTAAAATGATGAAGAGTCACTTAGCTTTTCAACCAACATACTATCTTCATGCTCAATCTCTTTTTTTGGTTCCCCAAAGTTAGGTTCTAAACTAATACTGTCATTATCAGCGTTCAATGTTCTGTCTGACCAGGAGCCATCATTAGAGGAATTCTCACTTATCTGCATTCTTGGAGTTAATATTGGTTGTTCCAAGTGTATAAATTCTTTATCAATCATTTTTCTACTTTCCCCCCTAAATGACTTTGAGAAAGGACTAGCAGATTTATCGTCTGTATCCAAAACAGTTGGAGCTGTACATTCAGAAATGGAATTGTATGACATAGTATCTTCATCATCATCTGCTACTAAGCTAACACTATCAGCGGTCTCGGCCCTCTCGGTTCTGTCTCCAACTGGAGTTGACTTCTTATCACTTAAATCACATGGTGAGAGGTTAGATGACGTGCTGCTGCTATTTTTATCACTGGAATAGCTGTCGAAGCCAAGGCACTCAATAGAACTGGGACTAACAAGGCTGTCAGGTAAAATCTCAACTGACTCAGAATTAATTTTTTGTCCAATACTGCTGCTATGTGACATAGACTGCCCAGAAGCTGCTTCTGAGTCGGGTGTCGTCTTCAGACTTTGTGACAACACCTCCACAGAATCAGAACTATTTCTGCTTGAAACAAGTGATAATCTATTTGACCTAGACGATCCACGCCTTTCATCGACTTTTACTGCTTCATCTTTTGTTTTTGCTATCTTAAAATCCAACACATCAGTATTATCTGACATTACAAGCTGACTTTTGGAAAAGAGATCATCTTGACTTCCATATTTAACATCAGCTATGATGTTCATAGATTTGGCTTTAGGCGGTCTAACTATAGCAGATTCAGCATCTGAACCTTTAGGTTGTTCAAAGAAGGAACCAGCAAAAGAGCCCCACATACTTTGCGATGTGGACTTGGTGGGGCTCTCTGTAACCACGGGCCGTTCGTTGATTGGCTCATCCTTAGAACTCTCTGCACTGACAGTCAAGCCCCAGGAAGAGAAAAAATCCGTGCTATCATTTTGAGGCGTATTACTGGCACTAGGTGATGTTTTAGCCTTACTTGGCGTAGGAGGCTCATCCTCTCGCTCCTCACTGCTATCGTCTTGGATATCTAGAGCTTTATCAATTGTTTTTTGTGCCTCCTTCAGCGCAGTCTTAGCCAAACTGGTCAAACCTGACGTATCGAACCAATTCATTTTGAGGTCACATTAGAAAATACTTGTAGCACCATTACACAATTATGAACAACAGGTAACGATGACCTTTAGTGTTAAAATCGACTGAGGAGCACGAGAAATTACATTTTAACAAACACAACACAGCACAGATGACGTTTCCATTTTGTTTATATTTTTCTTTTCTTTCGTTCTGTCAAACACAGCAGTATTACTTTCTAAACTTTTTTACCCAATCTTTCTTCACTATCTGAGTATCGGTTTACACATTTCAATACAATTATTTTATTTATTTAGCTTTGAGAAGACGTGTAAAATAATTATTTGCACGGCAAATTTTGACGTTTCTTATCACTAAAGAGTGCTTCATTTGACTATAGTGGTTGCGTAAAATTGAATCGTTATTTTCAGCTCACTAGTCATAGCTCCAGTGGCGCAATTGGTTAGCGCACGGTACTTATAAGACAGTGTACGTGTGAGTAATGCCGGGGTTGTGAGTTCGAGCCTCACCTGGAGCATATTTTTTACTGTAATTATTATTTCATCCAGGTCTTGAAAACTCACTCAGTTATAAAAAATAATACTAGGGATTAATTTAAAGTTTCTTTAAACTTGCAAATATTTTCTTGAAAACTTATTTCGTAAAAATCTATTCGAACAACTTAATCGAATCTTTTGTAATTCTTATATTTTCAAAAAGTCTATGGATAAAATATATATGTGTAGTACTGCTTTAACTGGTTTATATTTTTAATTAGATAGAAGTAGAAATAATACACATTTTATTTATATTTAAAATTTATTCAAAACACATACATTTCTTTAACTATCTATTTACAGTCTTCTTAATATATCATTATGCTATGTACCTATAGAAACAGGACAAACAACAATAATGAAATAATTAATGATTGGATAAAATAGGTAACAATTTTAATAAATCAAACATGATTAAGCCCATGAGTCATTTACTGGTGGAACTTCAATTAACAATTCTATAGATAACGGGTCAGCGCGTAAAATCCGTCTCGGTACCCTAAAGATATCTTATTTCAAATTAGTTTTGTTAATACAAAAAGACGTAACTCGCTGGCCAACGACTGGTAAAAATATGTTATTTTGTGGGTCATAAGGTTGATTTCACATTTTAATTTTTCACTTTTATCGTTTTTTTCAAAGTAACAGATATAATTTATAAGGAAAAAGTGAAGGCGAAGTAACATATTGTTATTTGTAAACTTATTCTTATGTGAGATAGTTGTTATTAGGTTTTAAATTTCATTATTTATTATGTTGTTTTAGTTTGTCTTTCTGTTTCTTTATTTAATTAAAATCCGGTCGGTTCGTACTGCCTCTTAAGCATGATGTGGCTACCTTCAATAGAATTTTGCATTTTGTATGTATCACTATAATGTTTAAACATAAGATTTAATGTAAGTTTCTCTGGTGGTCCTAATAAATAAATAAATTAGGTTCAACTTAAACTGTTTTAAAACATTTATCAATGTTAATTGGGACAGGCGCGGTCGCAGCCTGAAATTTTGGAGGGGGTCACTCACTACACTAATAAAAAAAACCGGTCAAGTGCGAGTCGCACTCGCGCACCGAGGGTTCCGTACAAACCTGAATTTTCAAAAATATTTTTTATTATATGATGTAACTAAAAAAATTACGGTTTTCTCAATTTTTCCTTTATCTGTACTATAAGACGTTACTTCGTACCAAATTTCAAGATTCTAAGTTCACGGGATTACCAAAACTACGTAGTTCGATTCCTTGTTTCTAAACTAGTACTAGATGTCATTTCCAAGTTATTTTAACCATCGTACGTAGTTCATAAAAACACCACTAGATGTCAGCAAACTATATTTTTTTCCTTTTATTATTTGGCAATTTTTTGAGATTTTTCTATTTGACCTTTGATTTTGGGGGGGGGGGGGGGGTCATGTCCCCTGTGGACCCCCCCCCCTTCGGACCGCGCCTGAATTGGGAATCGAATGTAGCTGCATAAGTTTAAACATACTACAGTTTTGAGCTTTGATTTTGTAAGCAACCCGGTATCTAAAGAATTGTTGATTGAATTCATTTAATAAGCTATAAAAATATTTTGAAGGGCAAATACAGGGCATAAACACAATTCCTGTACATATTTATTACTAAAGCATTTAAATATTAAATAAATAAATTTTACAAGATGCTAGACAAATTACTTTACTTTAAAATATACATACCTGTTAAAAATTATTTAAAATTTCAATGTATTCAATTTCAACTATACAATCTGCCCCTAGATAGTGTTAATTAAAATATATTGAAAAACTTAAATGCATTTTTCGTGAGCTATGATTTTGATTTTGAGTTTTGAATAATTATTTATCTCTCTGTGATACTGGATTTTTTGTTGTTTAATAACAACAATACTGTAGAGGTAGTATTTAAGGACGTTATTTCATATTACAACATGTTTTTTGAGTGCATAATCAGCGTAGAGGCGTACCTATATGACTCGCTTAACGGAGCACTGCAACAACTTAAAATAATAAATACATACTAACTATACCATCCCTACTATACACCCCTTAAAGATCAGCCTACCGTTTTTTCTCATTTGTTATCAAACAAATTTAGCCATTTAGCAAAAAGTATTGAATTTTATTATTAGCTCAAAATATAGTGTACTTTACTTTTTACATTTTCAGTGCAATCAGAACTAAAGTTAAATGCTTAGCGATGGTCTTGGTGGGCAATTAGATAAAAAAACGCAAATCAATCAAATCAATCAATCAATCCATCGCCTAAGTTCAGACCGGACGAGGTATTATGTCGGACGAATTTTAATTTTGCTATCTTCGGGGGTCATCCTCGCTTACAATCAAAACAACATTTGCGCTTAACTTCAGAGATGTTAAATTACTATTTTGTGTATTTTATTTGAGTTTTAAACATTCAATGACCGAACAAGTTGGCGTTCTACCACTGAAGGCGCAAAATAGCTTCAATTTGATCTCGGTAATGGTAAGAAATCATATAAACTTTGACGATAGGGTGTAAGCGACTTTCGACTTAGATAGTAATAAATATTATATGTTATTTTTCCAGTTATTTTGTCATAGAGTAGGTCAATTGGAGATGCACTAGTTGGAAAAGATGAGATGATGATCTTATATATAAAATTCTCGTGTCATTATATTAGTTACCATAGTACTCCGAAACAACTTGACTGATTTTTATTAAATTTTATATGCTTATCAGTAGGTTTGAGAAACAGCTATCTATTTTTCATACCCCTAAGTGATAAGGGTTGTCCATTCATAACTTTTTATTTTTTGGACATTTTTTTTTATAATGTGGCATTAAAAATACACCCCTAAATTTTGACTCTTCTAACACCAAATTCCTATTTTTATGGCGGTACGAAGTTAGCTGGGTCAGCTAGTAAGATTATAAAAATACATGCACTTACAAATTATAACACATTTCGTACAATAACAATAAATAGGAATGTAATAATCGTACTAAGACTATAATAACTTCCTGTAGACAGTATTTCAGTCCGTGTGTCATTCATTCATTATTTTCACATGACATAACATTGTCACAATATAGATGATGAATAACTTATTTTCTTCTTCTATCAGATAGATTATCAAAATGTGTTGGACACGTATTTTTTCTTTGTTCACATAATCAAAAGTTCAAAACGTTTCTAAGATATATTGATTTGAAATGACGCATGACGTCACGACTTGGTGCAATATTTACTTAGAAGTGACGTCACGACCCCCCACTCCCAAGCTTTAATGTACTTTTTCTTTTTAATATTTTTGGTTGATTGACAAAAGAAAAAATACTTTTCCATTGTTTTTTGATAATCAAATTGACGAAATAAACAGAATTTAGTTAACTTTACCCAGACATCCCTAATATACATATTTATAATGAGTTTAGTTACACAATATATTTTCAATTACATATAAAATACAGTAAGTGAATAAGTATCTGCTTAGATGTTGATAACGCAGCACTATTTTAATAACAATTTTAAATAGATCTAGTCACTTTCCTTGAAACATATACATATTATAAATCTGAAAGTAATTATGTTTGTCTGTTACGTTTTCATGCTTAAAAAACTGTACACACTTATATTTATATTATTTTATATGAAGACAAAAATAAGTGGGAAGTAGAGCTATGTATGGGCAATTATATGTTATGCAGACAAAATTTTTTCATACACATTCCGTGCGAGTAACAAAGGATATTTAGCTCTTTTGCTCTTTACACAATTTCGAATATTATTCCAGTATATGTATAGAACAAATAATAAAACAAAATTGAACAGGAGGCCCACTCTAATTTAACGAAAAACGAAATTTCGATCGAAAATTCGCACTTTTCTTACAATGTTTCTGGTTCATTTTTAATTATAACAATATTCGTCGTCGGAATATAAATTAAGGTGTAGATTTTCTAAGGCTTCTCAAAGAAAGCTTCGATTTAATAGTTAATTGTTCAAATTAAGTATAACCTTAAATTGAAGAAATTAAATCTCGTTTGAACTTCGTTATCCAAAGTTCGTTTCGGAGAAAGAGAGTAGAGCCCCAGTTCACTTGCTGTACTCTGATGAAATATGTATGTTTCATCACCATCCTGTGATATGTTTATTTTAATATTTTCAATCGATATACAAAAACAATACTTTTTTTGTATTATTTAAATGATTGCTTAGATAATTAAATAAAACAATAGGGTATTTGACAGTATTAAAAATAAAGTGCCAATTGTTAGCATCTGTGTTTAGAATGAATAATGGCAGGGATTTTCACTATTTTTACAGAAAAAATATTCATAATTTTACTAAAAATCCACGCAAAAGATAATAGTTTCTTATCTATTGTCACGTGACCCAAAACGCTTGGGATTGGCGGAGCCTAAAATGACGTCACACGCAAGTAAACTTCCGGTTAAAGTGACATTACATTGTATCGTTTGATGTTTTAATAACAGTCGTGTGACGTCACACACCAGTGAGACGCCATATTGTGTAGAGAAACGTTTTCGCGGCAACTTGAAAATGGAGTTTTTGATTTGGTTAGTTTTACTGAAATACACAACAGAATGATGAATATCCACTTTTTACGGACCCCATAATTATTAGACAATAACGTGAGATCGTTTTCTAATACTTGTCAAATATTCTATTTCTAATTAACTACACATATTTAGCGGTTAAATATATCTTTCGCCACCGTTTGAATTTAGCTTCGATTAAATTTAAGGCAAATAGCTGGTATGATTTAGTTTAATCAATCGTAATATGTACAATTAATATAAAGGGTCATATTCAAATAAAACATTCAAATAAAGTTTTAGAAAACGATTTCACGTATTACTTAATATACTTATA